TAAGAGGTCAACTTTTGGAGCTTTAAATTGACCTACCTGAAAAGGTTGTTTGTTATTGTAGGTCTTAAGCTCCTGATTCCCCCGACATGCTTCTTTTTAAAATCGATCCTTGCAGAAGCGAGAAATAAAAAAAAGCTCGTGACTTGTGTATCTTTGCAAAGCATATGTTTATTTTAAGGGCCTAATGGAGTTTTATTTCTCCCCACCCCCCTCGCAGCTGCAAGAATCCATTTCAAATCATATCGGGTAACAAGGAGCTCATAGCCTACAGATGGTAAATAGGTGAGTTCTGAGGGTTGGCTTATGTGATGTTCAATCTAACTAACGTTTTATATTTCAATCTTAAAATTCAACCATGTACATTCATTTTTGAGTATGTATTTGCTCACCTGCTTGGTGTTAATCTGGACTCAAAACTGTTGGCCTTCATGGTGATGGTATCAGTAAACAGCACATCTTTTGCTGGAGATGCCAAAGCTTCAGAGTGAGACAAGGATGGGTGCATTCTTTGCTGCTGTAATCTCTTCAATGTCGCGTAGCCAAAGGCATCTCTAGAACTTGTGTAACTGAAGTTACAATCAGCTAGACTTTTTATTGTAGCAATGGAGGGTGCTTTAAGGGACTGCGCTCTTCTAGGAAGTGTATGTGAGGAACCTGGTGGTACCAGGGACACTGAGTTTGATTTGGAGAGGGACAGATGGTTAGACTGTGGTGTCAGATAGTGGCTTGTCTTAACAGTTTTGGTACTTACCACAGTACTCATACTCCCACAGTCTGTATCCATAGTTGTAGCATCTACACCTACTGTCTCTCGTGAGGGGCTTGAGCTCATTGAACTTATGCCACTTGTTGTAGTGTCTGTATTAAAACTCTGGCTGCGGATCTTCATATGTGAGCTTGTTGAGCTTTCTACAACTAATCTTTCTCGGCTTGTGTTTTCTTTGTGATTCTCTGTACAAAAACTCTTGGTAAATTTTAAGTCATTCTCTCCAATACTTGGTGTACTACCAGTATCTTCTAGGTGCTTATTCCCAACAAATGAAGTTTCTAATTGCAATGTTTTCTGTGCCGCAGAGATGGGTGTGAAGTCATCACTATGATTAAAGTCAACACTGGGCTCTGTGAGGGTTCTGATTCGCCGGTTACTTGTCTTATTTTCAGACGATAGTTTTCCTCCTTTTGGATCACTGCTACTACGGTGTTTTTTATTAGGCAAAGTAAGTGAATTTAAGATACGATTCTTCACAAGTTTACTAGAAGCAAAAAAAGGAAATGAATTTTTATCCTTTATTGGTCCAGGTCGGTCATAAAACGCTGGCTCGGCATCTTCATTGATGTCAAGGAAAAATGTGCTTGTAGAGCTGCTGCCAAACCTGTCATCCTCCAGTACGAACATGCCTACAATGCAAATGTCAATTGGTTAAAGCACAGGAAAATGAAACATTCATCATAATGCTTAGAGATACCACATCTTGTAAGTAGTCATCTGGAGGAAAATCAAAAAATAAAGAGCCAGTTAAAAAAATGTTCCCTAGAAAGTTAAAGTTTGGATGAGAGTAAAATTTAAGATTATATTATTATGAGGATCTCCAGTTACTTTTTTAAAGACAGGGTTTCACTCTACAGCTTAGATTGACCTCAAGTTCACTATGTAGCTCAGAACAGTCTCAAACTTTTGACAACCCTCAGGCCTCCAAGTGCTGGGATTACACAGGTACATATCACCCCCTATCACCACACCCAGCTAACATGAAGTTTTTTCCCTCCTTCCCATCTTCCTTCCTTTTTGTGGTCCTGGAGATATTTTGTACATGCCAGGCAAATACTTTACCATTAAGCCATGTCCCCAACATGTGCTCTTTCATGTTGTCTTTTTTTTGCTTTCCTACTGATATCGAGGACTGAACACAGGGCCTCTCACAGTTGCCTAGGCTGGCCTTGAACTCATTCTGTAGCCTTGGCAGGCTTCCTGTCTCAGCATCCTGAGTAGCTGGTAGAACTACAGGCCTGTGCCATCAGGCCTAGCTTGTTGTATCTTCTTTTTTTTTAAAAAAAATTTTATTTATTTTTATTTTATGTATGAATGTTTTGCCTGCATGTATGTAAGAACAACTAGCAGCACTTAGCACAGGTCTTGAAACCACATGCTGTTTTACATATAATTTATTTCTGACATTCTATCTTTTAACAATTCCACTATTTTATACAAAATAGGCAAGTGTTCTACTACTGCCAACATGTGTGGCCCCTCCACTATTTCAACATTTAATGAAGACATGAATCTCTTGGCAGATTCTAGTTCGATAATCTATAATATGAAAAAAAAGAAAAAAATAAGCAAATGAAGGAATATTAAAAACTTCTATCTCTGACCAAACAATTTCTAACAACTGTTTAAAATGCCAAAGAAGAGAACAATTTAGGCTGGTGGCAATAATCACTGTTGTAAAGGGTATGCAGTCTCCAAGAGAGTATTACTGTCAAATAATTATCTTTGAATGTAACTTGGAGTTACTTATGGTGGTACATGCCTGAATCCCAGCACTCAGGAGATGAAGGCAGGAAGGTTCTGAGTTCAAGGTCATCTCTGGTTATATTGCAAGCTCAAGGCCAGCGGAGGCTGCACAAGATGCTATCTCCCCAATCCTCCCATGCCCTGCCCCCCAAAAAATTGGAATAGAAAAATATAAACCCAGAATATAATAAATACACTCAAGCTTTGAATTCAAAAATTAAAATGTCAATATGAATTAATTTTATGTGAACCTCTCACAATACTCACTTGATGGGGCAGACTCACTTTCACTATTATGTCTAGAGCTGGTTGACTCCGAGTTCAAACTGAGGGTGCTTGGAACAGATGAGAGTTCATTACAAAGCTGTTCCACATCATCTGGAACAACTGGCCACAGATGCTTCCGACTATGTCGCACAGCATCCCAATTATGACATTTTAGAATATCACATCCTTGCTTGGTTTTAGCTATGAGTCCAAGGACATATACACAGGTCCTGAATGTAAAAAATGTAGCAAGAGTTTAGAATTCCAAAATGAGATTTCCTGAATAGTCATAAAATTACACGTCATATGAACATCTAAATTTTCCTTAAAATACATTAAAAATCACTTAGTTTGTGGGAAACAATGTATTTAAACTAGTTAGGGATAAATTAACAACAATTAGAAATCATGCAAATATCCCTGATAAGAATAACTGAAACAAAAGTAGTTTAGTAGGATATTAGTAAAATATCTTTAACTTCTTTAGTATAAACTTGGAATATATGCTATTGAATTATAGGACCATTTCAACCATGCTAAATTTTTCTTATTACTATTAAACAATATTATAATGAAATGATATTCAGCAGAGTTTATTGAATAAATAAATTTTAAAAATATGACATCATTAGGATTTACAGTGAATCAACAATAATGGATCACAAAGTATTTTTGCCTTACATATATTTGTGAATAAGGATATATTCATTCAAGGGGCTGGAGAGATGGCTCAGTGGTTAAAAACACTGACTGTTCTTGTAGAAGACCTGGGTTTGAATCCCAGCACCCACATGGCAGCTAACAATTGTTCATAGCTCCAGATCCAGGTGATCCGACAGCCTCTTGCGTCCTCCACGGGTATTTCACAACATGGGTGCACTTACCTACATGCAGGCATAACACTCATATACATAAAATAAAAATAATAAATAAAACATTTAGAAAAAAGAATATATTCATTCAAAAGATTTCCCAAGTACATAACATACCCTCTGATGGAAAGAACTTCACACTGTTTTGCAAGTTTTAGTATGTCTGGAATCACATTTTCTTCCTGTAGCAAGTTGAGACCCCAATTTGATGAGCCAATATTTCCCTGTCAAAACACACCAAATATATTTATAAGACTAATATTTTGAAAAGCTACCAAGAAACAAATTTAAATTCATCTATCAGAGAAGGGGAAAAAGAAATCCATGCAAAAAAGGCATCAAATAAAGGATGCAAGGGAGGAGGTAAGCTAATACTCTATTTGTTTTGGCAAGAAAACAAAAGGCATAAAAATAATAATCTCTTCAGCATAAAAATAATCTTAAAATTGGCAGGAACAATCGTGGTCTTTGAATATTAATCTAAGAACAAGTCTGAGGTAAAATAATTTTAATTTATTTAGTATTAATGGGGAAATTCTAAAAACAAAACAAAAAGCCCTCTAAGCATTGCAAAAATGTTACAGAAATGTTAATTAACATAACAAACCAAGGCCCAAAGAGAAGCTTTCAGTTTTTTAATTTCTTCCCATTTATCCAAGTCTGGTGTACGAACATTGTGACAGAGTTCTGTGATAATATTCTGGAGAAAGAAAGAAGTACGGTGTAAGTAACAAAGCACCACACTTTTAAAGCACTTCCTTATACTTTATCACTAAGCCAATTGAAGGTTTGCTTTTAGTAATTTTCTCGTATTTAAAACTAAAGAAATTTTATATAAACTTTTAAGGAGGCCACATGAGTGTATAGGTTCTGAGTTCATATTCTAGACTTGTCACTAATTGGCATCAGGCTCAGTTTAACTTTCTAGAGAAAGGAAGAAAGACACTTAAAGTTTTTTAGCATATAAAATTTTTGATTTTTCAACAAATCATAAAGAACTTAGGCCTCTGCTGATGCTAACTATACAACAAATCAGCCATTCAAAAGTTACTTAACTTCCTCATGCCTTGATCTCCTAATTCCTAAGGGATAGTAACACTTGTCTTACAAGGGTTTGTTATTTAATGAATATTTTACATACAAAGTTGCTTAGTTAACAAAGTACTTGGCACCTAGTATTATAAGTTATAATTATTTCTTTTTATTATTTCTTTTTACATTTTATTAATTCACTAGAGATAGTTTGCCTCTTTAACCATGTGGCTCCTGGGGCTCAAACTCAGATCATCAGGCTTGGGAATAGGTACCTTACTTGCTCAGCAATTTCTCTGGCCATTATTTCTTTTAATTAGAAATTATCATTTCCTCTAAAATTAATGGTCAGATTTTAACCGTACTATATAGGTTAGAATACCAAGCAATTAATTTAAATTTTTATTGAATGTATATTCTAATATTAATATAAAGATACTTCCCCAAAAGTCCTTATAGATATAATATAAAAATAGATAAAACTGTGGAGTATATGTCTGTCAACTTTGGGCTTCTGAGATGAATGCTGACACAAAAAACTAGCCAGGCTAGGTGGCATATGCCCATTAAACCTAGTACTCAGGAGACTGAATGAGTAAGCAGGAAGATTGTGAGTCTGAGGCATTATGGTGAGACTCTGCCTCAGAAAAAGCGGGGCACAGGTTGACACTAAATTCATAGATTAGTACTGCTCTCATTCTCTTTTTCTCTCTCCTCTCTCTCTCTCTCTCTCTCTCTCTCTCTCACACACACACACACACACACAATTATTTCTGAAACTATTTACTTCTTGAGTAAAAGAAAGATTACATTTATTGAAAGCACCTAGTTGCAAGAAATATTCAGAGCCATAAAAGCACCACACATACTATATTCAAAAGATCAACTGCTTCCCTGAGCCTGCTAGATCTGTGAAATACAAGAGAATAGGGGAGATGCTGCCAAAAGCAGCTTTCAGTTTGTTGCTCATTGAGGATACTAGAACCTTCATTGGGTTCATTTTAATTTAAAAGGAAAGAGAACTTGATTTTTCAGTACGTAAGTAGATTTTAATTTCTCCAACAAACTATGAAAGAAAGAACTCAAGACTTTTGCTGAGTTGCTTACTTTATGTAACAATTTAGCTATTCAAAAGGCAACAGAAAAGTCAGGGAAATGAATGCAAGCCAGTAACACTCTAAGGATTATAATAATAGAATGCTTAAGTCAACTATAAGATAGAGGACTTTAAAAGTAATTATACCACTGACTTTATGACTTCTGAGAAATCTTTGCAAAGATAATATTTTAGCAACATTAAGATTTTCTTTTTATTCTTTTGATTTAAAAGAAGAAAATTATGTTTTACCTGTACTTCCAATAAATGGCAGCCTGTTTTATGGTGTACCAGTTGTCCATAAAGGTGCACAGGCAAATAGACATGAGGTCGTTGTAATCTGATACGATAAAGATGATTGAAATAGTTACTGGTATACTTAAACATGGGAATTACATAAATAACTATTAATGTACTCAATTCAATACATAAAATTGGATATATTTCCCAAAAAATAAAACCACTGAAGTAGGAAAGGAGTATTTCTCTGAAAAAAAAATTTTTTTTCAGGTCTCAAAGTACTGAAGTGTTAAGGAAGTTGAGGCTAGAAAAGTAAATTGGATTGAGAACATGGAGTATATCTGAATGGTGTAATGGGAAGCATATTTAACCAGTGAAAATTTGGAGCAATCGATGCTATGCATAGATTTTTCCCCCCCTGCATCCATATACAGGAGTCCTCAAAAAACTTTTTAAAATGACCTATTAAAAGTCGGCTTTGGGGTGGGAATGGTGATGTGTGCCTTTAATACCAGTGCCAGGGAGGCAGAGGCAGTAGGATCTCTGTGAGGTCAGTGTCAGCCTGGTCTACATAGTGAGCTCCAGGTCCGCTGGGGTTTTAAATTTGGTATTTGAGAGGCAGTAAAAAGTGGACCCCCTGATTGAACTATACCTTTGGTTACTCCGACGAACATAGTTATCACCATCAATAGGCTTCCGATAAGTAGTGAGTGCTTCATTAAGTTGTTCCTCAATCAAGTCAACATACTTTGAATTATATTCCTAGAAGATAACATTGTTTTAATTCCATACGGCATCATGATGACCTTCGATAAACTTTTGACAGATATTTAGCAAATCTTACAAGCATAAATATGAGAAAAATAAAAGAAGTATGTTTAAAATGTATTGAAGAAGGTAAAGCATGAGTATTGTGAAAGCAAATGTCCTAGCACATCTACAAAGTTCTGCTTATCTTTATCCTCTTCTCAATTAGCATTTTGAGGTAAATAAGTGAGGAAATATTTTTTATCATATTTGAAATCTCTTTTCCATTAAAAAGTTGCCTTTGTAACTTTAAACTCTGAAAATATTCACAAGAAATTTAAAAAAGGTAATTAATGGAATTTTTATCATATAATTTCAACACTTTTCAAAATACTTTCTCCTACCGATTTAAATCAGGTCAAACAGTAAAAATTATTTCCTACAAACACTTGAAAAAAATTCTAATTCACTGTTTAAGCAGAGTTCAATTTTTTTTTTTTTTTAAATTACAGAAGTTCTCTACTTCAAATTGTAAGCAGAAACTGGTAAAACATCTTTGGAAGGCAACTTGGCAGCATCTATTAGAAATTAAATTCCAGTATACTCTTTGCCTTAAGAATAATATTTTTAAAGTTTTAATCTAATTTATATCTTTGCAGAACCATAAAAATATTTTTATGTGTATTCTATATAGAAGAAGATCTAGCAAATACCATTTAAAAAATAAAAGTTGGGCACAATGTAAATGCTCATTAATACAGGATAGATAATGTTATACAGTCATTTAAAAGAATGAAATAGAGGTCAGTGAGATGGCTCAGTGAGTACATGCACTTGCCAATAACCCTGACAACCTGGAGCTCAATCGCTAGGGCCTACATGGTAGGAGGTAACTGGTTCCTGCAAGTTGTTCTCTGACCTCCACACATGTGCCATACATAGTATATGCAAAGCACACACAAATGTTAAAAAAAAGAATGAGGTCAATCTGAATATACTGCTCTGAAAAGCTCTCTAAGACAAATGAGTAAAGAATTGAGTTTTATTTACATGTGCAAATTGAATCCATTTGTGATTTTAAATATTTTTAAAAATATTTTATCATTTTTATGTGTATATGTGCATTGCCTGCATGTAGGTAAGTGCATCCGTGTCGTGCAATGACTGTGGAGGACAGAAGAGGCTGTTGGATCCCCTGGAACTGGAGTTACAGACAGTTGTTAGCTGCCATGTGGGTGCTGGGATTTGAACCAAGGTCTCCTGCAGAAACAGCCAATGTCTTAACCGCCGAGCCATCTCTCCAGTCCTGATTTTAAATATTTTAAAAATTATTTTTATTTTATGCATGAGTATACTGCCTACATGTAAGTGTACCCATGTTGTGCAATGCCCATAGAGGTCAGAAGAGGGTGTTGGATTCCCTGGAACTGAAGTTAGGGATGACTGTTAGCCACCATGTGTGTGTTGGGAACCAAACCCGGTTCTCTGAAAGAGCGGCCAGTACTCTTAATCACTGAGTCGTTTAAATTTCTCTAGCCCCCAATTTATATTTTTAAATGAGAATACACACACACACACACACACACACACACACAGATGTAGACAACATGTATGTGCAGGAGAAAGGACTTGATAACGGCATCTTCAGAAAAGGCAGAATAAAGGAGCAAAAAACTTATTTTTCATTTTAAAGTACTTGGATGTCCTACTTATGCCCACTAAAAGTCTTCCCAGTTCTTCAGGTTTTATATTTATTGTAACAGTAATGAGGTTTCAACAAACCATTATCATTATGCTGTCCTCTGTAATAAATATTTCCAATCTCATTAAGGCAACTATTTGAACTTTTTCATAGACTATTATCCATGTGGTATACTTGGTAAATCTCTAATATTTGGAAAATACTAGCAAAAGTCAGTAGCCTGGTTTATAGCTATAAAATGGGTTGGGTTTGCAATACAGGTTATCTTCAGGATTTTGTCCAAAAAGATGGACCTGGAAGGGCAAGGAGACACTCTCCTCTATACCAGTTATGGCCCTCTAGAGACCACGAGGTGATTTAAACAGGCAGTCGGACAAAGAAACCACCGGCCTTGTCTAGGATCTGTAAATGAGAGATCATGAAGCAGCCCCAAGAAAAGATTCAATCGTGGGTATTGGCACACTCAAGAGTCAATAAGCCCATATAATTGGACCAAGTGTGAAAATCTGTTCATGACCCCTTCTTCCTCCTGCCCCAAACCTGGAGAGGCATACAATTTTGTCTAAAGAGGAAGAAAATGAGAAAAAACGGTGATGGAATGAACCAAATCCTTTCTTCACTGCCCTTTTCTAAGTCTACAACCAGGCCTGTGCTGGGTGAGAGAAGTACAAAACTGAATGAGTAACATTTTAATAGCATGCTGGGATGGACGTTTTATAACCTTAAAAAGCAAGTAAGCTGTTAGCTAGTGGACAAGGAAAGCTGTCAGATCCACCTAACATCTCATCCAGAAGAAAGAAATGCTCAGGTAAAGGAGGGGAACGTGGTGAGAAAAGAACTTTATGTCCTGAATCCAAGCTGTCAAAAACCATGAGAGTCAAAATACCAGAGAAATACAAAGCAATTATAAAAAAATGAAATGCTTTCCAAAACAACACAATTGCAATAGTCATGAATTAGAAGAGAGTTGATGACACACATGAAAGTTAATAACCACTAGCCATAATAATTATGTGAAAAATTATCTACAAGGTTTTGAGTCATAAAGAACTGGTCTATGTATTTATTATTCATGACTCTCTTCTCAGAAACCACAGTTTATGAGAGGCAGGTAAACTTTCTTCTACAAAAGGCCCAGAGAATAAATATTTTGGTTCCGTAGGGCATACATGTCAGCACTCCTTAACTCTGCATTACAGAAAAAGCAGTCACAATTAACGAAAATGCGTAACTGTGTTGCAACAAACTTTGAGAACAGATCAACTATAGATGTCATATATTTTTTACCTCACAAAATACTATTTGTTTGTGTGGCCATGCTTAGGTTACACAAAAATAGCTAAAAAAATTAAAGTAAAATAAGGCTGGGCATGTTGTCTTGTAACTGAAATCCCAGCATTCAGGAGGCGGAGGACAGAGCTGCTGGGCAGCTTACATAGTAAGTTCTGCTACATAGGAAGACCTTGTCTCAAAAATTAATAAAATTTAAACAGTTTTCCAACTTTGAAGTAAACAGTAGAAAGCATGTTGGGCTCAGAAAGAACTTGGCAAGTGCCTTTGCTCTGCTGGTTTCAAGCTCTGTGATCTAAGATAATTTGTTTATTTCAGCCTCAATATTGTCATTCACAAATTGGAAATAATATATTTCATAGTATTACTGTGAAGATTAAGTGAAATAATACTTGAAAAGCACAAAATTCGAAGGCAAGCACTCAACAAATTCCTTTTCCTTTGTTTACAAACTACTGCTAATGCTCTTATCAAAGTCTAGAAGATAATCTTTTGATGATCAAACTTCCATTTCTACACAGCAACCTGCCATGTTTCCAAAGCACAGTTGCGGTTTGCAGTAATTCTCCCAGTGTATACAGCCTGTAAATCCTTTCAGTCTAGCTTCAATTTACCATTCCTGCCTCATTTTGCAGTTTTCTACTCATTCTACCACTAACTACACAGGCATCTGGCTTTCTTCACAAATCTATTAGGTTATAGATTTATTCTGTTCCCTCTTCCGTCTTACAATCTATTTCCTTACTTATTCCTCAAGACCATTTTGAATACCACGTTCCCCGGGCGGCCTATGCAACATTTCCTTTGCTAATCCTTGAGTAGAACCAGGAATTTGTGTTATCTTTTTCTTTTTTTCTTTAAATTTTATTTATTACTTTTATTTTATGTATATGCGTGTATTGCTTGCATGTAGGTAAGTGGACCCGTGTCATGCAATGCCTGCGGAGGTCAGAAGATGCTGTCTGATCCCCTGGGATTGGAATTATGGACAGCTGTTAGCTGCCATGTGTGTGCTGGGATTCGAACCCAGGTCTTCTGCAAGAACAACCAGTGTTCTTAACCGCTGAACCATCTCTCCAGCCCCAAATTTGTGTTATCTTACATAGTTACATATGCTTGTTGAGAACACTCATATTTTATACCTATGTCAAAGCACTTAGATTTGTTATCTTCTTAATAGTATAATTAACATAATATAGCAATCAATTTTACGAATTTTTAGTTTAGTTATAGTCTATGTAAGAAATCAATGATCACATCTTTTGTTCTCAGTTTCCAAATTATCAATTATTAGAAGACTTTATGTCTAAAATTTTGTGCTTTAAAGTTTCAGCACAATTAATAAATAAGAATTTCCTCAGAGATATGGGTCAGTCAGTAGTCAATATATATTGGTAGAGATCATTTTGACCATGATTTCTAAGATGCTCTGCCAATTTATAATGCTTCAAACAAAATAAGGAAGTCATAGGGATAAACCAGTTAGAGCAAAGCTAGAATGTCTAATATTTTCAAACTACTCCCTTCCTAGGGTTTCCTAACTATGCCAGCAAGAAGGTTGCTCTTAGATTTATTAAAGTTAAAAACAACTGTGACAGACTGCAGTCAGTGCAGCTGAAATGCACTTGCCACCGAGCCTGACAACCTAAGTTAGAGCCTCCCAACTTACATGGTGGAAGGAAAAAACCAACTCAAGCAAGCTGTCCTTTGACCTTCACACATGTCATGGCACACATGACCACATATGTAACACATACAAAATAAACAAATATAATGAAAAGCAAAAAAAAAAAAAAAAAAATCCTACAGTCCAGAAGTAGATAAACTCATTTATCAATGCCTTTTTAAGTGACTTTTGTTGTTGTTGTTTTTGAGACAGGGTCTTATGCAGCAGACTGGCCTCACATTTCTGATACTCTTGCCCTGACCTCTCCGACCTCTCAAGTGTTATGCTACCACATCTGGTGCTAGGGACTGAACCCAGGGCTCTGTGCATTCTAAAAAAGTGCTCTGTCAACGGAACTGCATTCCCATCCCTAAATTCATTAGTTTTAAAACACTGGTGACATGAAAAAAAGTATCCTCTAAATTGAGAAATGTAGTTATCTATTTCCTAAGACAAAACCAACAAATTATATCTTCTTTAATAAGAAGTTACCTTGTGCCATTTTTCCAATTGTTTTGCAACATAACCTCTTTCATTCAAGTAGGAAAATCCTTTTGGAATGGAGAGAAATCTATAAATTAAAACAAGCCATAGTTTTAACATTGAGTTCAACAGAAAATATTTAAAGATCTAAAATAACTCAAAGAATGTGCTTAAGAAGCTAACAGAGCTGGTACTATTTCCCTGTCTAAAATAAAAGGTAAAATATAATTTATTAAAATTTCAATTTTAGATAAATTTTCATAATCTTTACAAAAAGAATGAACCTGGTTACAATACTTAGTGAAAACCATGATAGAAAGAAAGATTAAACAAACACAAACTACTGAAAAACAGTAACAGCTTCAATATTGAAAGACTGTGAAAATTCTAAAATAGGTAAGATTAAGTTGAGTATTTCCCAGTCAGATTTTTAATATACAGGACCAGAGAAAACACAACAAAATTACCTCAGGAGAAGAAGCAAGCCCTTGTCTCCAAGGTGGGATAAAGCTGGCTTCATCTGAATGAGAGCATGGAGATTCGCCTAAAGAGATGATCATCATATTAGCAACTATGCAATGACAGTACATTCTTCTTTCCAAAATGGTTATCCACAGTAGGCTTTCTTAATAGTCACTTAAAATGCAATGTTTTAATAAAAATTCCATTTAAATATTTCATTATAATAAGAACAACAAAACCAAACCTCACCTTGTCCTCACAAGCTTCATCAAGGATATCAAGAGCTTCAGAAGAAATTGTTTTGTTTTTATCATGTAACTGAGTTACTAGTAACTCAATTCCCCAATTGTTGAAGAATTCAACATTAGCTCTCAACAAAACCCTTAAATGTTTTGTTGCATACAGTCTGCAGGCCTATAAGGAAAAATGCATACATTACAAAAATTCATCATAGCCTATTTATTCTGTTTAGAAAAAGCTCTGCTACCTGAAAGAGACAGAAGGACTGACATGGATGGTCCAGTTAGTTAGTTCATTCTTGATATAAATATTCCCAGACAAACAGCCTGATCTTTTAAATAAAAAAAAGGCTCCATAAGGAGTTCCTCAGAGAGTCTAAATTTTATTATTTTTTAATTATTTTTTTATAAAGCTCTATTTTTACATATGACTGTTTTGTTTGCATGTATGTATGTCTGCTGAGGCAGAAGAGAGCATCAGGTCCCTTGGAAATGGAGTTACAGATGGTTGTGAATCTCTGTGGTTGCTGGAAACTGAGCCTGGTTCCTCTGAAAGAGCAGCCAGTGCTCTTAACCACTGACCCATCTCTCCAGCCCCTAATATTTAAAAATTTTGGGGCTGGAGAGATGGCTCAGCGGTTAAGAGCACTGGCTGCTCTTGCAGAGGACACGGGTTCAGTTCCCAGCACACACATGGCAGCTAACAACTGTCTGTAACTCCAGTTCCAGGGGATCCGAAACCTTCTGACCTCCACAGGCATTGCATGATACACACATGTAGGTAATATATACATAAAATAAAAATAATAAATAAAATATTTTTAAAAAATTTAATTATGTATATAAGTATGGGTTTATGCATGTGAGTACAGTGTCCACAGAGGCCTGAGGGTCAGATCCCTCTGGTATCCTGAGAAATGGCCTCACAGGCAGTTGTGAGCTGCTGATGTGGGTGCTGGGATCCAAACCTGAGTCCTTCGGAAGAGCAGTGACGAGTCTTAACCTCTAAGCCATCTCTCCAGCCGAGACTAAAAGAATTTTTTTAATGTTTATTAAGGGGACTGTGCCAATACAGTTCCCAACTATCACAAATTAGATGACTGAGTTTCTTGTGTTTGAGAAATCACAAGGGATAGCACTTCTAGAGTATAATGGATAAACCTCTCCCTGGAAAAACCATCTTTTGGATTATAGTATCTCTTCTACCATGTAAGGATAGAGATAAAATTTTAAGGTAAACTCAATTTCTATTCCATATTTTTAAGAGTTTATTTAGCCTAAAGTGCTAGAATTAATTGGTTATGAAAATACAGTTTTACTGCCTATAATATACTCACATCAGTAGCTGCAGTCAGGATTTTTGAAAGAATGACTCTAGCTAATCCATCTCTGCTATAGTCTAAGCTAGAAACAGTAAGTTTTAGCAAATGATCTTGGTTTTTCAAGGAGCAAAGATTAAGGAGACTAAAAAAAAAAACAAAAAAAAGAGGGTTATTAGAAATTACTATAATGATTAATTCAATAAATGTTTTTTCAGTTTTACTGAGAAATGACTGACATAATATTCAAGATATACAACTTGGTTAGACTATATCCCTGTCAGATGATAAGATTCTAACACATCCATTACCATGTATGATTACTAATTTGTGTAGAGGGGTATGTTAAAACAATTCAACAAGTATTTTTAAAAGCCTATATAAATATGAACACTCTGAAAGAAAAGCATTTACCAAAACCTAAAAAGCATATTGTATATCTGACCATATTAAAAATAAAGTACAGATTTACATTGCAACAAAATTTGAGAATGCTCACCATTGAAATACACTGCATTTTTCTAGCATTTTGACTCCATGGGGATGACAAGAAAGTGTTCCAATAAATAAGAAGTAGTGTTGACTAAGGGTAGTCAATAAACCATTATTCTGAAGACTTCTCTCAGGTTTCATTCCAGAAGAGGCATTAAGCCACTGAACAATATCTTTCACTAGATCTTCTAAGTATCCCTGTCCATCCTGTAAGTAGAAAAGTCAACCTCCATCAGCCACAAAAATGTAATGCTGAAAAGTTCCTCATAACAGATACAGACCAACAAGTAGCCGTGATTTATAATCCCTTTCAATACAATGTTATCTGGAGAAGACCTTATTTCCATTTTCTCATCTTGTTTGAGAGTACACCAGGTCATCTAGAGGCAGATAATTTCCCCAAGTCTCACAACTAGGTTGGGACTAAGGATTCAAATCTGAGCTTATATTTCAAATACAACTTATATCAACTAGGAATTAAAGGTAAACTGGAGGGCGGTAACAGAGGAAGAAGGGTCAAATTCAACAAAAAAAATTTGCTTGAAAATACTGGGAGGGCTTACCTCTTCGGACTCCAGGAGAAATTCTGTAAACTGGCAACCAACAACAGTGAGCTGCTTAGATTTAGCAAAATCAAGATCTAGACTCGCATATAGTTTACTGCTTGGCTTGTAGAAATAAAGAAGTCTTCGCACAAACCTAAGATAAAAATAAAATTAGTAAAAATAATAAGTAAGTCAAAGACTATTGGCCTTCAGGTTATGAAATTTACTAAGCACTTGAGCACATTTCATCAATATTTAAAAAACATATCACTGCAAAAATATTTTTGCAGAATAAGAATTTTACAGTGAGATAATTAAAAGAAATACAACAGAGGGGAAAATGCAGATGTGGTTGGGCATGATGGCACACAATGACAACCCTCAGCACTGAGGAGGTAGAGTGGCAGGAATATTAGTTCAAAACTAGCTTGGGCTACATCATGAGTTTCCAGGCAGCCTGGGCTTCACAGAAAGACCTTGCATCAAAAAAACAAAGATAACAACCATCTGACCCCAACAACAATAAAACTAAACAAAAACAGAGATAACATATCTAGAATATAAGGGTGAATAAATATAAGGAAGCCTGAATTTAGATAACTGAATTTATGAACATAAATTTTACTATTTCAATAACTCTTAAAATTCAGAGAGGTAGCAAGTATAAGGAGTTAAGAAAATAATAAGATATCATTTTTAGTTTTCAAAGAGTATGATGAGAGCAGTATGCTTCTCCATTTCATTATAACTGATAATGACCTGTGTACTTCTCAAAACTTAATACAGACATTAAATTACATATCACGAAATAATACAATGAAAGAAATGTTAATGATATGGACTTCTCTAACATACTTAAGGCCCCGTTATCCAAAGAGATCAGTAACTATAGCGGGTTAGTCAAAACTCAGGAGTGAAAAATACACAAGTATAATAGAGAACAGCAAAGAAACTCCAAGTGTTCTATATGCCACCAACATTAGCATGCCTTGTAGACATGTGGTAACAGACAAGGTTAAGACAAAGAATGGATAACTCTTGAAAGATGGGGTTGAGTGTAAGTTGCATAATAAAAACATTCAGTCTTCTTATTGTCATCCTCATGTTAGAGTTAAGATCACTACCTAGTTAATATTACCCTAATTTAAGTAACTTATCGTAATTATTTTGGCAGATCAAAGCTACAAGCAGTATATAAATTACGAGAAAAAATTAGCTGATGTACTGTGATTATAAGACTACAATTAAAAATGTATGCATCTATTAAACACTAATTATTAAAATGTCTGGACAAATGTATCTTTTTAAAACTTATTTTTTAGCAGGTATTAAACATAATATAATACAAACTTAAGTTCTTCAAGTTTAAATGCACAATAGTTTTTACATACCTGTGCAACTGTTCATCTTTATAGTTTCTTAGATTTACATTTGGCCACTAGAAAAACATAATATGTTATATTATACACATGTATATTTGTCAACTCCTAAGCACCTAAGTGTAATAAATTCTAGTAAGAAAATGAAGACAACCAAGCAATCTCCATGAAGTATTTTGTCATACCTTAAGAATGGTCCCTATGAGATTCCAGTTCCATTCAAGATTCTCTTTATGTTGAAGGACTTGGCTATCCCTAAGGTTTATTAAAAGAGCCTCCTCTGTATCCTGAAATCACCAAATAGTAAGAAGGACAATTAGTCTTCATACCAGAAAACTATATTTGAATTTTAAAAATGAAAAGAAAGATGTTGTTTATGAACAGATCATCAATGATAAGCAATAATTTTCTTTTTAAGTAATAAATATCTAGCTCTAAAGGCTGAGGAGACAGCTCATTCGGTAAACTGCTAATTTTGCATGTAAGAGGACCCGAGTTTGATCCCTAGAACCCACACATGCTGAGAATGGTGGCACACACTTGCTAGGTGGACCAATGGGGCTCACTGGCCACTTAACCAGCCTACTTGGTGAGTTAAAGAGACAAGTAAAAGCTCCAGTCTCAAAAAAATAAAAGGGAAAGCTGGACATGGTGGGGCATGCCTTTAATCCCAGCACTTGGGAGGCAGAAGCAGGAAGATCTCTGAAATCGAGGCCAGGCTGGTCTACATAGTGAGTTCCAGGCCAGCTGGTAATATAGGGAGACTGTCTCAAAAACACCAAAATAAAAATAAATAAATGCATAAATAAATAAAATAAAAGGGAGATGGTGCCTTAGGAACAGTATGAATTTATCCTCTGGCCTCCACATACGTGAGCTCACCACACACATGCACTCACATGTGCACACACATTACAACCTCACAAACCCAGCTCTCAGCTGTCTAGTCATGGTAAAGCTAGTATTTTGAAAATCCATATGCATGATTAAAAGTGAAAAATTCAGACAAGTACATGTATACTAAAATCCAACTGTTAGAAATTAGGAAAGTATAAATTAAAAATCTTCATTTCATGTCAGTACCTTAAGAATAAATATATCTTTCTGAACTCGAAGATACTGATCCCGTTTCTGGTGTGTTGCAACTGCTTTCTGAATGATGTGATCTAAATGAAGGCTATAAGGCTTAGGTCCTCGTTTCTTCATTTCATGGAAGCGTTTCAAGCAGTTCAGTGCTGCACTGGCTCGCCTAATGAGGGAGAAAAAAAAATCAACACTGCAGCAAGACTAGCATAACTTTAAAATGATGGCTGCTATGTTATTTAAGCTTACATAAATTCAAGGATAGAGATTACCAAGAAAGGTGAACTATTTAGTCAAACATGGAAGCACAATAACAAAGATCAACAATACTGCTGATTTACATGAAGAAACCTGAATAATTTGGATTTAAACACACACAGACTTCTGAAGTGGTGGTCCCTTTTTGTGTATTAGTTTTAAGAATTCCTTATACCGGTCTGGAGAGATGGTTTAGTGGGTGATGTGCTTGTTTTACAATCATGAAGGGGATCTGAATTCAGATTCCCAGCACATACTTAAAAGACTGGTACTGTGGTGTGCAACTCTAACTCCAGTGGTGAGGGCAGAGACAAGTGGATCCTGGGAGCTCACAGGCTGGCCAGCCAGCTTAGCTTGAAAGGTGAGCACCAAGTTCAATGAGAGGCCCTGTCTCAGAAAATAAGGTGGAAATCAACACAGGAAGACACTGGATGTCAACCTCTGGCTTCCAAACACACATGCCAAGAACATTCCCCATCCCCTATCACACGCACACAAATACATACACACACACACACACACACACACACACACCATGGATGCATGTACACACACGTGCACACACAAATACACACATTTCCTTATATAAGGTTAAGAAAACTAGTTTTCTAGGTTTAAAGCTTTGTTTTTCACGTTTTTATTTTACTTGAAACTGATTTTTGTTTATATGAAATTGCACTGCTCACCCATATAATCAATGCTACTAGTATCCACTGAACATTATTTTCTGCATTCATCTATAATTTTAAAAAATATTTAATTCCTTCTTTGTAGTATATAAAAGAGAAGTTTTCAATGATTTGGCAGCAATTAAGTCTCAACTTCAGAACTTCTGGTAAGCAAAATTTAACAATTTTGGATGAGGTCAGATTGGAAAGTTCTTAATCTGTCAGTAAAGACAGTTTAAGCAGCTAAAGAAAAAGAGTACTACTATCACTGCTACTTCAAACACAAACTTCAATTCCTCATGATCCCTGAAATTTGCAACTACGACCATAATTTTTACAGAGCACACACTTTCCAGGTTTTCAGAAAGCATACTTTGCCACCATGAAACTACTCACTTAAAAGCTGAAAGGGACATTATGATGTAAGCCTCAAGTCAGAATGCCCTGTTTGACAATACAACTCATCTACAACGTAACAGTAGTGCTACTGACAAAATTAAAATGAACAACTGTTTTTGTAGTAAAGCCCATATGTACACTTTCGTATTACTAAAGCTATTTAAACTTTTGAAGAATATATAATTTAGCAACAAATGTTTATAGTTCCAAATAATTATTGAACTGCATTCTACAACATATGGTGGTCTACATACATCATTTTTTCAAATTATAATACCCAAAACCAAACAAATTAAAAAAATCATCTTAGGCATGCGGTAAAGCCTGTCTTTGTCCAGAAACATCAAAAAGAAAAGGTCAATTTATCACTTATAAATATTTTGAGAAGTACAACCTTTCTTGTTTATGTGAGGCTTCCAAAGGAATTTTCAAGCGAAACTTATCTATACTATTTTTTCCCCTCCAATTCTGAAAGAAGAGAAGGTTATCTAGGAGAATATGTAATATATCAAGTGCACATTTTGCTGAAGCTTTAATACTTACAGTCTCTTTTCCTTGGGGATATCAAAGGAGGCGGCCATATTCATTAGAGTTGGCAAGCAGTGCAAATGATGGCTGTGTGAATGAGGAAGAATTGTGTTTGCCTAAAATGAAACAATGTCTCATGAGTTTATATATTGACATACTAGACCTAAATCAAGGCTATTAAAAACTCAAGGTTTTTCACTAAATTAACTCATTTCTTCCAATACATATTAGTTATAATTTTAAGTTTCATTTACTTTCAATAAGAATGACAGGCTAGAACCTGTAAGGAGACTCAGCAGGTAAGGGTACTTGCAGCCAAGCAAGTATACATACACACACAAAATTATTTTTAAAATGCAAAAAATGGTTTTAAAAAATGTAAAAAATGGTTTTAAAATATGATATAAACATTAATAAAGCAACTCATTTTCAAATATCCTTTATTATTAAATTATGAATTTAAATAGTACTGAAACTCATTCTTAAATGACCTGAAAAGATTATAGCAAAATATTATTCTTAAAAATGGTAGCTCTGCAGAATCAAAACTACCTTCTTAGTACAGATTAGTCTCATACAGACAGAAGAATCTTTAAATAAGAAACACTGTCTCCTGGTTGCTTAGCAAAATTTCACCACTCAACTGGTAAGTGAACTGATTAAATGTAAAAGAGAGAAGACATGTGAATAATAAGTAATGAACTAATACTGCTATTCTTAAATTTAGCTAGATTTTATATTTAATATGATTCATAGAATTATGGGTTTGAAGAAAGGGAAAGATTAAATTTACATAAAATATTCCTTCATATAAAAGAAATTGATATTAACATACCTATAGAAAATGGTATCTGAAGAACTAAAATACAGATAAACTGACCTGAGAGTCTTCAGTACTATTTAGTTCTGTTCTAGATAGGCTACACAAGAACAGAGCAAGTGGCTAAATAACTCAATGATAAAAAGACAGGTTACACTATAATGTTCAATTCTCTCCCTGGCATATACAGCCTAGCTGCTATGTGGGGGTAAAAGACATGGAGAAAGGGAGGAAAGGAGGAAAAAAACATACTTAAAGAAAAACAACTCTGCCAATATAAACAATTCATAATACAATACTAAGAGATTTGCTATAGTAACACTTCTACCTAAAGAAGTTTTGAGTGGTTCCTTTTATTTAGTATTTTATCAACTACTAGTGACCTAAAAATATAAATGTTATCATACAGAATTCCCTCCTTACTTAATTTACTAAGAGTACAGAATGGACAAATTACTTTTATAGACAGTTTCCAAAAGTCACTAATGTCATAAAATCATGGTGTTTTCACAAGTCTCCTCAATGAGGCTCATTCTCTGAAATCTAAAATTGTCAGTTTATGGAACTCACTGACATTCAGAAAAGACAATTATACTTAGAATTTTTGTACTAATCTTTCTAAAGATCAAGAAGTCACTACAATGTGTGGATTACATTTCTAGCAGACTAAAGCAATATATATTTTTTTTTATTTCAACTTCTTGCTTTCTTTAGTAGGAGGTCTTTCTGAGAGCAATCAAGATTTAAAGAACCAAAATATCTACATCAAAATTAAGTTAAAAATTAATATTCAGGGGGCTAGAGAGATGGCTCAGCAGTTAAGAACACTGGTTGTTCTTGCAGAAGACCCAGGTTTGAATCCCAGCACCTACATGGCAGCTAACAACTGTCCATAATTTCAGTTCCAGGGGATCCAACGGTCTCTTCTGTTCTCTGCGGGCATTGCACGATACAGGTGCACTTACCTACATGCAGGCAATACACTCATACACATAAAATAAAAATAGATATTTTAAAAATTAATATTCAGTATTTTGTATTTTCTATATTTGTTATATTTACAAAAACCAGCTGATATGGATATGTATCATCTATCAGAAGGAGGTACCAAAGGCTTTTGTAATACAAAGATAAACATTCATAAAAATGAAAGTTTATGAGTTAAGGTAACACTATTCAAATAATCTGTTTCAGCAATTAAAATGCTAAAAATTAGCCGGGTGTGGTGGCGCACGCCTTTAATCCCAGCACTTGGGAGGCAGAGGCAGGCAGATCTCTGTGAGTTCAAGGCCAGCGTGGTCTACATAGTGAGTCCCAGGACAGCTGGGGCTACAGGGAGACCCTGTCTCAAAAAGAACAAAAAATAAATTAATTAATAAAATAAAATAAAATGCTAAAAATAAAATATATGTAATACTTCACTTACCATATGTAAAAGCTCTCCTAGAAGGATGGTAGCTCTAACAGAGATATGGTCATCACTATTCGTTATCACTTCAACCAACCCCTACAAAGTAAAAAGGAAACACTGTTGCAAAACAGTGTGTATATATACCTATAAAGTATGCATATGCATATTTACACATGTTGCATCTACATATTGGATCTGCAAAGAATTTTGTTAAAAAGACAATATAAAATAAAATAAGGCTTATGAATCTTACCTCCAAAAGTCCATTACGGATGAATGCAGAGAGTATTAGTGCCAAGTAATTGTCCATGAGATCTGGCCTGGAAGCAAACATAATCAAAACAATCTAAATATGATTCACATAGTCCACAGACTTACATAAAAGCAGCAATGGTAATAAATTGAAGCCATTTTTGTATTTAAATTCTACCTGGATCTGGCACGATGGGGAAGAATTGTTTTTGCTTCAGCTGCTACAAAGCCATCTGAAAGCCTCCAACTGTCTTGGAACCTTCCTGGATCTAAGAGTTAAAATTAGGTAGTTAAACGATTATGCAACACTGAAACAGATGAGTGTGGAACTATCAGTTATCCAGAAAATCAAAGCAATCTTTGGTTAAAAAACAAACAATAATATACTTGGGGGAGGGTGACAGAGATACTGCTATGAGTAGCAAGGGTGTGGACACCCTGGGTCTACCAGGGGATACCTATAATGCTACTGCATGCTGAGGGATGTGCATGTCTACACCTACAGTATAGGGTGGGGTGGGGAAAAGACAGATCTCCAGAGGAGGAGATGAAACAGTGAGCTTTTGGTTCAGTGAAAGACCATGTCTCAAGGCAATAAGGTGGACAAAGACAGAGGAAGACACCCAATGGCCTGCTCTAGACTCTACATGCGCCTGCACATGCGAACATACTGCATACTCACATGCAACACACACACACACACACACACACACACACAAATGCATGCACATGCTTACGTGTGCCCTATAAAAACTATACAAACAACTCTCTTCATTTTGGGACTTACGTATCTCATAAGTAAAGTGAGAAGAAGACAGTCCCAATACTATTATACTAAGAAATGAAAATGGGGGACTGGAGAGATGGCTCAGTGGGTTCAAATCCCTGTACCCACTGGTGGGTAACAACCATCCGTTACTCCAGTTCCAGGGTACAGGATGCCCTCTCCTGCCCTTTACAAACATTGTATGACATGGGTGAACTTACATACATGCAGGCAATACACTCATACACATAAAATAAAAATAATAATTACAATAAGCAGCAGATACAAATGCACTTCAGGGGAACTGGAAAGATGACTCAGTGGCTAAGCACACAGGCAAATGCACTTCAGTACTTACCTACACTGAGCAGTGCCTCTATGAACTCCTCTGTCACAACAGGTAGAGGAAGACGAAATATATCATAAAGCACTTCAAGCAGACCTCGCTAAAACAGCAAATACAGTTCACTTACTTTTATGGAATAAATCTTTAAAGACTTTTTAAAGGCCATATTCATAGTCTAACAAAATTAATAAAAGTATAACTCATTGTATCCTATATAACAGAAGGGATAATTACTGAGAATTACATACAAAACTTAATTGAAGAAATCTTTCATTATTCCCATTGTGCAAACTTGGAAACAGATTTGAGTTTTTTCCACCCACAAGGACAGAAGGCAGCTGATAAGCTGGGGTGTGGCTCTGTGGTAGACTACTTGTCTAGCTTAGTGAGGTCCTAGCGCTCAAACCCTAGCACCCTAAGAAAGGAAATAAAGTTTTTGTTACCTGCTCAGAGGTCTTTTTCCATGTATTTTAACTATACCTCCAGTTTCCATAATCAAAATGCTTTTTCTTTCACACCTGGTTAATATTTCCTTCCTCCCACCCCTCCCCTCTTCCCCCTTCCTCTCCTCTCCTCTTCTCTCTCTCTCTCTCTCTCTCTCTCTCTCTCTCTCTCTCTCTCTCTCCCTCTTTCTTTCTTTCTTTCTTTCTTTCTTTCTTTCTTTCTTTCTTTCTTTCTTTCTTTCTTTCTTTCTTGAGACAGGCTGTCTGTTCAGAAAGTCTTTCTGCAGCAAGCACAAATTGTGACCCCAGGTATTGCTGAGCCATCTCCTCAGCTCCCAAAGTAACTTTTTAAACAATTCTCTGTTAAAGGGCCAGAAATATAAGAATTATAGTAAGTTTGACCTACCCTTATTTCCATATTTGGTATGCAGAGTACTCCAATTAGAGACTGGATTCCAGCATTTCCAGGTTTACATAAGTTAATAATACCTAAGGAGGAGAAAAGTTCCAAAAAGACTTCAACTACAAAATAAATTCTATAGTAATGTTTCATAAAATATAATCTGTCATGTTTTCCAAGCTAAATTATACTATTTGGTCATCATAACTGATAGAGGTAAATCACACTTCAAGTACTCTCAATACTTCCTTACTAATTAATTAGAAATTCCCGTTCATTTCATCACCTGAATTTCTTCTACCATCGCTGTTTCAAATCTAGAAGCTGGGGAACACCAGGTGGTGATACATGAATGCTTCTGTGGGACTATGCACATGAGAGGGAACAGACAAAGGTCAGATACTAATACTCCCTAGACTCAAGTGAAAAACAATGTGACTTATAAGAATTTAGTTCTAAAATCCACTGACTGCACAAATAAGTAACAGATCTCAAAATTTATGGATCAAAATGTTTAAGTTATAGAACTGAGTCAAACAACTTTCAATATACTAAAATCATGTCCCAAGAGATATATAAGTGGCAGTTGCTGGCTGGATGAGAGGCGGGCCTGCTGGGAAGGCCACGTGCCCAGGGGAGGGGTGGTAGCAGGGTGGGCAGCACTGGGCCAGGATAACCCGGGGTCACAATTTGTGCTTGCTACAGAAAGGCTTTCTGAACAGACAGCTGCCCTGGGAACAGCTGGATGAAGCACAGCCCCAGTTGCAGAGAGGAAACTGGGAAGCAGGGCCATGGAGAACAACACCAGGGCCAGTGGAGTGCCTACACTTGGCCTTGAAGAAGAACCACAGTCCCTTTAGGAGAAGGCTCAGTTAGCTCCCTGGGTTCCAGCAATTCCCCAGGAGGGGAGTACCAGGGACTGGGAGAAGGCAGCTGTACTTCTCTCAGCCAGATCACAGAAAAGGAAAGGTCAAGTAAAGGAAGGAGGCTATGGTACAGTCTGCAAGAAAGAATAAGGCAGGGCCTGGTAGCCATCAAGGATGTGTCACTGTGCCTCTCTCAGGAGGAGTGGCAGAGCCTGGACCCCTCTCAGACAGACTTTTATGGAGACTATGTCATGCAGGAAGTATTGGGATAGTAGTCTCTCTGAGGTTTCCAATTCCTAACCTGGGTATGCTTTCTCAGCTAGAAAGAGAGGAACAATGGGTCTCTGACCGCCCCCTTCCCAGCACTTAGAAGAGAGGGACATTCTGAGGGTCACATATGCAGGAGATGTAAGTTAACAATGAGGGAGATACCCCTGAACTAGAAGCAGAACCTCCTAGAATGTTATCCACTATCTGAAGATAATGTCCTCTGGGACCCAAGGTAGAGTGAGCACTGGGAGGGCATGCCTAGGAGCTCCCAAGGAGCGCTTCTAGGCCCAACTTTTCTTCAGGAAGATAGAGTCTCTTAAGATCCCACATATGCCCTCAGTGTGGGAAACAGTCTGTGTGGAGTTCCCACTTTGCCAGGCATCAGCAAATACACTGGAGAGAGGCCCTACAGCTGCCTCAAGTGTGAGAAAAGCTTTGGGTGAAGACATCACTTGATCAGACACCAGAAAACCCATTTACATGGCATGTAAGTAGGTGTTCTGAGTGTGGCCAGAATTTTCAGTGCAACTCCTATATGGCCAACTACCAGAGGGTACGTGCAGAAGGCAAGTCCTGCAAGGGCCAAAGGGTTGGAGAGAGTGCCCTGGGTCTGGAAGGGGCAGTGTACCCCACCAGTGCCAAAGTGCCATGTGTGCACTGAATGCGGGTAGAGCTTTGGCTGAAGGCACCATCTAGTAAGACACGAGGGAGTTCTTCCACTGCCCTCATTGCAAGAGAGCTTTGGCTGCAAATGCCACCTGGACAGGCACTTGCAGACCCACCAGGGACAAAGTCCTGGGGCAGCTGGGACAGAGGGACATCTCTCATTTGCAATCGTTTCTGCTGTAGTTGTGGTCAAGTCTATCTGCGGTGCTACTAGTACCCACTGCCAGAGCTGCCTCTCTCCTGCACCCCAGTGGCAAGAATTCTGAGCCTTGATCCTACCCCTAGAGAGCTGGTGGTCCAGTCCTGGTCAGAGCATTTCTCACCAGTTCTGTGAGACAACACATGAATACAGTTCTTTGGGAAAAACTGCTTACTATGTGGGTGGCTGTTTGGACTGAGCCCATTCTCAAGGGTACAGTGGAACCAGCAGTTACAGCTGAGGTCCATTCTCATTGGTCAGCATCTGGGCCATACTGATTTCTAAATATTTTGTGTATCATCCTTGTCAACTAATTGAGAGAGAGAGAAAATGAAAAGGGCATTTTAATATATTAAAGGCTCTGAGAACTTCTTTAGTTAATTGTCAAGTGTCTATTAATCCAGTATTTCCAAAATTTATTTGATCTCAGTATCCTATTTCATATCACACAAAACTGGTGACTCCATGAAATAGAGTCTGGTGGACACCAGGTTAAAAGGCAATGAGGAAACAGGAAAGAGACAGTGATCAAGCACCCAGAGTCCCCATTTTTAACTATATGAAAGCAATGGGGCAGGGCAGATGGTCCTGTGTGGGCCTGTCACCCTTCCCCCATTGTTGCACATAGGTCTATACCTCTCACTCCTACCTGCTGAAAAATGTGAAGAGTGACCTTTCATTACCTAGTCTTCTCCATCCTGCACATAAATATCCAGCTAAGAGATTAGGTTACAAAGCTAAAAGAGAGACCTTACACCCCCCCAAGCAATCCAGGCCCACACAGAAGAAAAAACTATTCCCTCAAACAGACCCTTCTCTTGGCCGTGTTTTTATGTGTCTGTGTGTATATATGCGCAGAGTATTTGAAAGAAGCATACTCAGTGCAAACCACATAAGCTGGGATTTCTAGGAACTGTGTTCTGGGGATAAAGGTAGTAGGGGTTGTATATGTCTTTATGTTTGTTTTGTTTCAAGATAAATAATTCTGAGTGATAAAGGGAGCCCTGTGAAATGGCTGAGTGATCTGTTAAGTTGTATACAACGTTGTCCTTGGTATAACTGAAATGAAGACAGTTGTAGATTTGTATGTCTGGGTCTGAATCTCTGTGGTGCAAATAATTTTTATCTGAGAGACAAAGAAGTTCAATATTTCTTGTTGATTTCAAGGAAGGTGCACACATATTTGTGCCCGGTAAGGAGTTCTGTCTTGTCTTGTTTTAAGTGCTGGAAAGTTAGGGCAGGAATTGCAGTGCTTGCGTTTGACTTTGATAGCCTCATCAACAGGGAAAAGTCATACTTGAGCATCTTATTCTCCCAGAAACAAAATTTAATGGAAAAGGCTGTGGCTTAGCTTTTCAGCTGATGCAGGGTAATGAGTTTTCTGATTGATTTTCCTCCCAACTTTGAGAAGCTGTTCACACAGACTCTTTTGACTCTAAGGTTATCCTCAATGGGGTTCATATATGAACGCTAGCATCTGTTGGTTCATAAATTGGTCACTGTTTCTCTTTTTGGTGACTGTGTTAATGCCAATCTTCTAACTTAAAAGTTATCTTTTACTTAGGATTAGTTTTGAGTTAGGGAAGAAAAGAATCAAAAAACATAAAAGTGGGTTGTTTTCTCTTCAGTGTTTACATTTTGGTTTTTCCCTAATGCATTTCTCAAAACACAATTGGATGAATTAGAGAAGCAGGAGGAAATGATTTGCAGAAATCTAGTTAATGACTTATCTGCTTGGGAAAAACTGGATGAATCAAAACTCTTCAGACTCTGGGCCCAAGAGGAATTAAAATTGAGGTCATTTTGCCGACTGGGCATCTTGACCTTGCGCAGCTCAATTCCTGTCTCCTACTATTGTAAACACCTTCCTTGGCCTGGAGTGCCACCCTTTGCAAGCAAGCCTTATCTAGGGAGAGTGCCATCTTAGGATCAGTGTTAGGGAGTAAGAAAATCTTAGGTTTCAGTGTTAAAACTGGATCGCGCCGGTTCTTTTACCTCCCTATTTTAATTCAAATATTTAAAGCAAATCAGTTCTTTCTATAGAACCTGCTAATGGAACATGCTTTGGATTACAAACCTGTGTGAGAAAATGACAGAAACCAGAAATCTGCTTTTCAGAAAAATAGATATTTAAAATTCACTTGTTCTACATATACATGAAGTAGGCTCAGAGTCTGTCCATGAGCTCTCTAAACTGCTGTAAAAGAAAAGGATTTATCCTGACTCATTACTCATT